TTTTTTTTTTCTTTCTCTCTCTCTCTCTATTCTCCTTTTTTTTTTTCTTCTTTCTTTCTTTCTTGTTTTTAGGGCCTTGAGCGAGATGTTATTCGGGGAGATAGTGTTGTACTCGAGTAACGACTCTTGGGGTGTTCACGCATTCGAGGAAGTAGGATTCGCATGTTAGGTTATTGTATTGGGGAAGGGGAGGGGAGGCGCCTTTGTTTTACTGCAAGCGAAGATTTGGGGCCGCATGCGGCGACGGGGCGCTTTGAGGAAGTATCGCTTGGAGGAGTGCATTTCGCGATGCGGACACTTTCTTTTGGCAAATGTTGAATTGATAAAGAAATGGTATGGTGGCAGGGTGATTTGGACAAGCGGGGCTTTCATTGATGGTGATGGTTTGGGCTTAGGTTTGTGGTGGTGGTGGTGGTGGATTGATTGCCTTTCCTCGGCTATTTTTGATGATGTTGATTCTCAGCTCTTGCGTTGCGATGTGGACATCTCTTTCCGCGTGTGTTGCGTGTAGATAGCTAGATAAATCCTCGCACCGCGGTGTGCCATGAGTGATATACGTGTGTGCATTTTCGTGAAGATGCATCGTCGTTTTAAATGTCTTTCGCTCCCTCCGCTCCCGATCATCTACCTCCGTCCCCGTTGCCTCAAACCCGGCAATCCAACCTTTCCCTGACGCAGCCCTAATTAACGTACTCTTCACATCCTGCCACTGCTTTATCCAGCCAGACATACTCCGTGATGTAACTCGTACTTCGATACTAAATCGTGTAATGCGTGCTGTACACTAGCCGTGTTGATAATTGATTACCTTGATCCTTAGGATCGCCTCTTCGTCCCAAGCTTCGATATGGATAATCTGGCTAAGAAAATAATAGTTGAATTTCTCATCGGTCATGTCTTTGCTTCTTTATAGGGGGGGGGGGTATCCCCAATATGGGGTAGACAGGGGAAAAAACGCGTGTTTCCTTTTGCCATCCGTTTCGCGTCGCAGACGTGGCCAGCTGTCTTTTTAATTCCTAGCACATTTTACCCTGAAGATATTTTCTCCATCCGTATCTAATATCCAGACTCGGTCTGTATAGACATGACCGCATGCGGCAACCACAGATTCTCCGTACAAAGGCTGAAAGATAGCTCCGTCGAAAAAAAAAAACCGCCATCAAGATAAAGAGAGATATTCGATACAAAAACGTCGTAAAGAATACAAAGCGCTTTTTTGTAAGAGCTTGCTCCAGACACATAGGTAGATGCAAGACAAGTAATATAATACCACGGCATAAAAAGCTTTCCACATCCACCTACTAAGTAAGGATCGCGCGATCTCATACTGATATCTGTATCAATCCCGTAGAGTAGACCAGTCCTTGACACACCGGATCGCGAAATAAAGCTGGCTCGATTCGAATGTTGCTATGCTTTCCCGCTTCCCGGCAACAGTACCGAGAATCTGCGACGGGACGATAATCAAGTGCAGCCAACGACCGGTCAAACCAAGCCAAGGATTTCGACACGCTCAGAAGACGATTGATTGACTGATGGATTTCCGGAGGCTGTCAAGAACACCGGTACGGGAATGGTGAATGGATATTTTGCTGCCTTCTCCTACTCTGCCTGGTCTCAAAGCGGTGAAATGTCGGATTGATATGATGGGTTTTTTATGGTACTAGTCGATTAGATATACCGGTCCCCTCCCTGATCGAGGCGTATCAGCGAATCTTACGATTGATTGACTTTGAAATATCACTCCAGAATTAATTTGAGCGAGGCCTTTTCAAGGTCGATGTTGATTCTTCGAGAGAGTTCTTGGTGATGGATTTCTGTCATCGAAGTAAGTCGATAGAGGACGGTATGTAAATTACTGGGACTCCTGGGGCGCCCAGCAGGTAGCGGCTAAGATCGTCCACGTGACCACTTTTTTTTTTCTTTTTTTTTTTCTGATTCAAATCAAAAAAAACAATTCGTCTTCTGTGCTTCCCGAGCTACCACTTTCTAGAACCATAATGGGAAGTTAGGTTTGATTCTGAAGAGCTCATGCTGGATCATTGCGTCAAGGCATAGGCTCTGATCCGACTTGATAATACCCCCCTTCAAAAAAAATATATATATATATATAATTTCGCAAAGACTGCCGACTCCAAGAAAATTTTGTATATTTCTCCGATAGTCAAAGCATTTGGTCTTGTATCTCACCCGTCTCGACATTTCCTTTTAAAAGCTGGGGACATGACTGCCAGCGAGCTGTTCAGACCGTCTTCCGCGACCTTTATCGGACAGAATTCTGTATCCCCCGATCCTGTCTCAGGCCCCGAAGGCTTGAGTTGACGACGGCCTTGTATGGTTATGGCTTGCGCAGGGAGGGGATGAGTGTGGGTGGTACAACAAAGGCGTCCGCGCTATATGCATTGCATAGCGACGATATATACGCCGGACTGAGCCCGCCGAGAAAAAAAAAAGGAGATTATCGAGACGGCGACAGGTGTTACTGGATAGCTGGTATGGATATGTAGATATATTGGTGGGTGGATTTGATTTGGTTGGAGGCGTGCAGCGAAGATGTATCTATAGAAGAGGAGAGAGAGAGAGAGAGAGAGAGAGAGAGAGAGAGAGAGAGAGCGCGGT